GCCACTCTTCCCCAAGCCTGCAGCGCTGCATGGGGTTGCTGCATGGGGTCTGTACTTAAGTACAGACGCTTTGGTTTCCCCATGTCCCTGCCTGGGACTCTTCACCTCTCACTTCAGAGGAAGCTTTCTTGCAGCGCGAATGTGGGTGAAGACTCCTTTACCGTGTGATTTGTCATGGGGCAATTCCTCGTAGCTGCTGCCTAAAACCTCGCACATTTGCATCTCTGGATGCTTGGCTAATGGGGCTCTTTCTGATACCATAGGAAATCGAGCGGAAATTCTTCTTCAAGCCTCGGAGAAATGGTTTCTGGCACATTTCGAGCCACGCCCACTTCCACGGGTAAGACAGAATTTTATTTAAGGAAATGCTTGCTATTTCTAATACTTCTATTTTAAAAACCATATGCAAAAAAAGGCAGGTTTCCCTTCTTTCCTGACTTATTAAGACGTTCTACAGAAAAGGGCTTGCGTGCAGAGGTGGAGAAAGACATTTATTTCTAGACATGTGGTAGTTGCTAAGGGACTGGGAAAAATCTCGGGAGGAGTGGCAGCTGCCCCCCGAATGGAAGGAATGACCAATGTAACAGGGCTGACCAAAAGGGAGGTGCACTGAGAGAAATCTGAAAGTGCATTAGCAAAGGGATTTTTGTTTGCAAGTTTTATGGCTGTTATACACAGCGTGTGGTTTTTTAACCAAGTTCTCGTTTGGTCTTTTAGCAAAACAGAAACAAAAAGTGGTAAGTAGTACTTTTCATTTTCATTTAATTTTATTTAATTCTAATCCATAATTCCCAGGATTTTCATATGGATCTTCTTTGGTTAATGATCTGAAGGATTGTTTTCTTCTTCTAGACAGAACATGTTCCCCCATATGATGTAGTACCATCAATGAGACCTGTTGTCTTGGTGGGTCCATCACTGAAAGGCTATGAGGTATGTATTTCTATTCGCAATTAGTATTTTCTTCTCTATAATCTTCCTTAGTACATTCAGCGAGTGTGGTCCGGTGCAACTGTTCTATGATAATTTACAGTGATCTGAGCTTAAATAGTTGTCAAAAATGGGTCTTAAGAACTAAGAGCATAGTTCTTTGCACCATTTGGGTGAGGTACCAGCTGAATTTTTTTCTGCCTTGCAACAATGTCTGTTACTTGTGGTGTCTCAGCTGAAGGGTAGGTAACATAACTACACCAGCGTTCTCGCTGCAGTTCTACTGCTTTAAACACAGTGCACATCCATTGTTTTCAGAACAGTTATCCTTGATTAAATCAAGTAAGACAGTGACAATTTGTGTCCCCTACAAGAAAAAGTTGGAGCAGTCAAATTAACTAGCTAGACTTCTGTATGCATGTAAAATTTTAGTTCAACTAGGACACGCTTTAAACTTAATTAGCAAAAATTTTGAAGAAGCTTCCCCGTTGTTCTCCTTTTTTCACTTATAAAAACTTTATGTCTTCCCATGAAATTCAGTGTTGGCAAATAAAGTAGCTGGACAATTGCAGCGTATTCAGTTGTGTTCTCCAGCACCTGAAACTGAATATGGGAACTAATTATTATTATTATTTCAGCATGTTTTCTTGGTTTTTTTTTTAAAGATTATTAGTATATTGAAATAAATGCATAAAGAAACCTTCAACCCTTATAAATTATTTGCCTCTGTTCAGCGTAGAAGCAGGTATGATAACATGCACAGATAAACAGGACACCCATTTTTCAAGGCTGCTGCAGATTCAAATGAGCATTTAACACGTGCTAAACGAGCACAGGCTTTTAGCAGGGCGTTTTAGTGAACTTAACCATCTGTTAAGTGTTTTGCTGAATTAGGAACTAAATGAACATGAACATAAAATCAAAGATACACTTCGTTTAGCTTAATTAATGTTGTTGGTACTTCATAGGATATTATTAAACGTATTGGAATGGTTCTTTTTGGAAGATTACAACATGGTACCATTACTAGCATAATGCAGTGTTCTTGCATTGGGTTTTTTTGTAAGAATGATTGAAAGTGTAGTTTAGCAAAGCAGGTACTTCATGTTCTACTCTCTGCCTTTTAATTTTATGGTGATGTTTCTTGACAGGAGTAAATTTCATCCATTGACTTCCATGGTGCTGCACCACAGATTAATTTGCCTAGGGACTCTCAAGTTTGGAGGGGAGAGAGGCCGTTTGTTAATACGTACCTCCACAAATATGCCGTCCTGCCTTTGTTTAAGAAAATAATACTAAACGTGACATCTTGAACATTAAAGTGTATAAATGGTAACACAGTTAGAACATTAATTTCAATTACAAACAGTGGTCTACGTAACAGAAACACGTTGATCTTACTTTGTGACCTACATGGGAAAATTCTTTTGACTATTTTTTTTCTGACTAAATTCTGAAGGAACCATTTCGAAAGACAGCCTAGTTTCGCAAGACAGCCTAGGAGAAATAAACTGCCAGAGGCCTGGGGGCTTTGATTAAGTTCCTGTCTAGACTGGCAGATAATAGGTGTCAGCCTGAGTTGTCCTGAAAAGGACAAGGAGCTCATTCAATAAAGTAGATGACAGCTGTTGGGGCTGAGCATCTCTTGGATGCTTTACTGTGTGCAGGAATGGAAGCATCCATTTTTTTCTGCTTGTATGCCTCTCTGAGAATAGTTTTTTCTCTTCTGTTAGAACAGTCATTCAACACGATAAATCTTGTCTCTGAAGTTTTAGGCCAGTTCTAATAATGTTAAACAAATGATCTATTCAGCCCGAATAGTCCCATATGCTTCTGACGTGTTCTGAAGCCTGTTGGGAATGGGATTGCTATGGAAGGTGGTGAGGTGTGCTCTAATGCTTCAGTGCAAGTCAAGACAAGAGCAGTAAGAGTGACAGCTCTCACATCCTCCGTTCTGCATTTTGGAGAATGAGTCAGAAAACTTGCAAGTATTTATTACAAAGCGTGCTGCCAAGAGTGTGAAAATTAAATGATTGCTACCTATAAAAGGTATTGATTGTTGGCAGTATCCTTACCTTCTACTTACCTCTTTTCTTACTTTTGACTTCTTTTTCTCCCTGTCAATCCTCCCTGTCCAATCTTCCTCACCTCTGCAAAGGTGACAGACATGATGCAGAAAGCTCTCTTTGATTTCCTGAAGCACAGGTTTGATGGGAGGTGAGAAATACTGTCCTTTTCATGCTTTTTTTCCCCCATGTGTTACTATCATTTTAGTGATTTTTTTTTTTTTTTTTTTTAAATGCCAGAAGATTGATGCATGTTCAAAACTGATTTACTGGCTTTGTATCAACACTGAAATGCAGCCAGCTGTGGGGTGGAACACAGTTAATGTATTGGTAGAAGTGCATGTATCTTCATTTCTGCTATGTCTGTAGTAGGATGTCTTGAATTTAACAGAATCATTCTGCCTTGATATCTTACCAGCCTTAAGTTACAGGAGAAATCTAGATGAAAGGTGACCGGGGCACATGGAAAGTGCCAAAATACCTTTGAAGATGGTGTTACCAGGCTCAGGTTTTTAATGTTGCCCTGGGAAGCAGGCTGTACCCCTTGTTCAGCCGGGAGTCGGAGGGAAGGGTGCTGCCCAGTGACCAGCCTTTTCGGCAGAGCCCGGCTCCGGGCTCGCTGCTGGCCCTCTGTCCTCCAGAGCTCCCCAGCCACTGCTCTGCAGGCCAAGCTGATGCACGTTGGGTACATTGAACTGAGTGGATTGCTGGTTTTTTTCATTCCCAAAGAGCTGTCCAATTCCTTTCATGTCATGGAACAGTTGAGGGAAGCATGACTGATTGCATGTAAAAGTACAGTTTTATTCACAGTCCTTCGAGGATGTGAAAAGTTCTTCGCCATTGGATACAAAAGTGTGTACTGCTGGACCAGCTCAGCCAGCCGCTGAAGCGTGCAGACACCAAATATAAGTGCCTCTTGATTTTATTTTGAAGCTGCTCTATTTGGGCGAGGTTCATTCCAGCACCTTTTGTGAAATTCCAGGCTCCTTTACAGCAGGATGTTCCCTAAATAAATCTAATCACACCCTAGCCCTGAAGTATCGGAAACAGCGGATTTCAACAGGGTGCAGTAATGGTGCTTCAGGCCAGCACCGAAGAAAGGTCAACTCTTAAATATTCTTGGTAGTCAAAAATACTTAAAAAGGTAGTTTGAAGAAGGAAATGCTGAGAACCAAAATGTAGAAAAAAGTGTGTCAGAACTTCAGAAATTGTAAGGAGGGTTCATCTTGTTTGGCTGGAACACAGAGAATATTTTCTGATGAGCTGTGAGAAGGATAATTTGGATTGCTTTGCTAGGAACACGGGCTTGGTCCGTGGCATCTCTTGCTTTCCAGTGGAGCTCGTCAGTAGTCGTAGGTGTCTGCTGCATCTTTGGGATGTTCTGCCTTTCCTTCATCCTAGTTTGTTCAGTATATTCTAACTGTGAAAAGGAGCTTATACTGCGCTAGCTAGTATGTAACAGTAAGTCAGGCTTGAAAATACCTAAAACATTGGCACTAGGACAGTGAAGATTATTATAGTGTCTGTTGTTTAGAAGATGTGGAGTAGGTTTTATGCTCGAGGTACCTTTCAGGGTGCAGCGAGGAGATGGCAGTGCTGAACTAACCCATAAACAGCTTAGATGAAATGTTTCACGATCAACTTTTGTGCAAAACATCTCATCTCCTCCCCTGCTTTTAATTGCCCAGCTGAAGTGATTTTAGCAGATTCTACAAACGTAGTGATTGAATTAAAACCTGACAGATGAAGCACTCTACGTGGCAGCCTGCAGTTAAATTTGTCATTTTTGTGAGCTGTTCACGCGTCCTGTCAGTGCCTCCTCTCCCCGCTCCGAGCAGTGTGACTGCTCTGGTTCCACTGCAGCTCACTGCGTGAGCTCCGCTGCCCCTTTGCATTACGCGTAGGTACGGAACCGCAGCCGATGTTCTCTTCCAGCTGTTGGCATCTGTCTGTCCGCTTTGCGTATGCCGGGGGAACTGAGGCGCATTGTTTTTGGTAGGAAACCATGGCAACGGGAAGCAATAAGTCATCTCAGTTGCCACGACGTGATTGCTATGAATATACCCTCTATGAGGTATATTTTTATACCCTATATGAGAATGTACTCAGCAGAGGCCTGATCCACGAAGATCAGCAGTGCCTAAATACAGAGAAGAAAATGTAAAGCACACTTGGACGCTCCCATGTAGGCTGCTTAATCCGATGGGAGGCAGGACTGCTCCTTGCCTTGCTCTTCTCTCTTTTCCCCCACCACGCACAGAGGTCTTGGTCTGCACAGAGCGGCAAAAGGGAGAGACTCTGCCTGGAGTGAGGTATTTTTTGGAAATCCTGTTGCCATTAGCAATGTCGGCAACGAGATCAGGTAGAAGTTTGAAATTTCAGCATTGAAAAAGTTAAATGCTGCAAGCAAGCTGATACTATTGACTTTGGCTCTGAGTAACTTTAGAAAAGTGAATTAAATTTCTTTTCAGGCATCTCAGCTGCTTCTTGGTCATCCTGCCAACTTTTATGGCTTTGCAGTCTTTTCCTCGCTGCTTTTCTGGTTTTTTTTTCCTCCATCTCTTCTGCGATTTTGTGACAGGTCCACGTTACCAAGAAGGAAAATGACTGTCCAAGGAGGAGTTTTTCAAAAGGCTTCGTTAAGACTTGAACTAGCAGGACTCCTTCCCTACCTCGGAATACACGGCTTCCGTCAGCTCCTTTTGTAACTGTGCCGTGCTCTTCTGGGCAGCGAGCTAAAGGCAAGGCCCGAGGGCTGTGTGCGCAGGCCTGCTGGAAGGAGCCTGCGGAAGCTCGGCCGGCACAAGGCATTCGGGGAATGGCTGCTGCAGAGGCTCTAACGGCATCGCTTTCTACATGCGTTGTGTTTAATCAGAGTTGCGTAGACCAAGCCTGGCTCTGTACATCCTGTCAACATAGCAAAGGCACATTTTTTTCTTAACATCTTTCAGCAGCAGTGATACTTAGGGTTACTTCTTAACTCAGGAAGAATGAAATGCTGCTTGTATCTGGCACGGCAGGTGAGCATTGGCGGTGCTTCCTCTGTCACATGTCTCCAATTCCAGCAGTCGGAGATCTGGGAGCTCCCTGAGCTGCGATCTGGACCACCGTGTTTTATCATCACCTCTAGACCCACGATCCATTAATTTCTCCCATTTCTTTTTAAACTCATTTATACTTTTGGTCTCTGCTATATTTTCTGGCAATAAATTTATTTATGTATTATGTAAAAAAATACTTGCGCTTCTTTTTAACCCACCATCTGATAATTTCACTTAGAGCTGCATAAATCTTACGTTCCGTGGAAGAGCTGCTAGTCCTTTCTAGCTTGCTTTCATTATTCACGGCTCTTTGGCTCATCACAGTCCTGCTAAATGGATTTTACGTGAAGCGACTGTGTGTTCTCTGTTCTATAATCTTTTGTCTCTTCTCAGCTCACTGACAGATCAAGTAAAAAAAAAAAAAAAATCACCCTCCTTAAGTTAAAGAGGAGGTTCCAGCAGTACAGGTAGCTGTGGCTCAACTTACTTTTCTCCTGTGCAACCCTGAGCCGAGTCGTTTGGCCCATTGGCACAGCTCCCTGCCTGGAAAAGGAAGGCGTGCGCTGGAGCACCGGTCTCCCGAAACGAGCAGCTCTGTTCAGGGACTCACCCGCGCTCAGATGGGAGTGACACGGCCTGCTCAGATGTCCAAACGTGGCCCGTCCTTGCCTCTTGGCAGCGGCAGGTTTAATCAACGGGTTAATTATCTGGGAAGAGAAGTGCTGGTACTGTTAGGACTCTCTTGTTCTGTATGCCCTAGGACTCGCATAACTTGTAGTATTTGGTACTGTGTAAATTCACGTAGGAGATGAGCGAGCTGGCGAGCAGAAAAGTTAACTAATGCATTAAGCAGACTAGCAGAAACTATATGCCA